TTCGATTTGAAAATTTGTTGATATACAGTTGTAATAGCTTCTGTTGGTGTTTTGCATAATTCACTTTGTATTCCATCGTATTTGCAAATATAGCTTAGATATGAACCAAATTGTGAATCTAATTGCCCAATCTCAATAATAAAATCATGTCCATTTAAAACTACTAAAATTTTAGTTTGTAAATGAATAGGAAAAAGAAAACAGAAATCATTATTTTTTTCTGATAGTCGTGAAATCCACCAATTAAAAAGGACCAAAATGTAAAGTTTCATCTAGATAACTAGAAAAAATTAAATTGACTATATATTTTTGGCGCTTTGCTATTAAAAAAAATTATTATATGAAAATAACTTTTTTTAATAAAAAGAAATGACTATTAAAATTCTTAAAGGATTATAAAATTTTTAAAAAATATATATATTATTTGTCAGAACTAGTTTGACTTAAGGTATGACAAATTTTAACCTGTCTTTAAACTTATAAAGTCTTGATAAATCATTAACTGACTGTTCTTGATAGTATAAAAAAAACTATTTGCATATCATTTCTAGAAGTTTTTAAAAGAACTCTAAAGTTAATTTTTTATGATAGTACTTAGTTGTAATATGTCCAATATGCCCGTGATTGATCTATAATAGTATTTTGATATTTAGCTAAATATTGGTTTACGTAATAGGTTTACTTTTGACTTAAAAACTTAAAAAAAAAAGTATTAACGTTTTAAAAATACCTTTGCAAATATTATTATTTTTTTTTAAAGTCAAGTTAATTCAATAGTAATAATAAATGAGTTGGGTTGACTCAACAAAAGTAACAGATTCTGGTTTGCTTTAAATTTTATAAAAATGATTATCCCCATCTTTATATATAATATATATAATAATTTTTCTGATCTGCATGCGGATCACGAATTAACAAATATTGTGTTTAATTTCAAACTATTTTATACTATTAGGATATATATATATAATATTGTAATATTGCGATATCGCAACAAATACATTATTGTTTTGTAATTGGGCTGAATCGAATAACTTACTATTGTTTTTATCTTTAGTTTAATCGGTATTTAGTATTATTAATCATCTGTATATTTAATTTAAATCGTTTTTTATTCACATATTTGTTTTATTTTACATAATAATTTATTGTATTTGTATGCAGTTTTATTTATATATATATATATTTTTTATATTATAATTTTACTCATATGTAGCTTATAGCTTATTTTTTATGCACCAATCAAATTTCATTGGGGTACATCAGCATGACCAGACATCATTTTTTTTTTTTCCCTTTGATAACCTTGCACTAATTTATTAGAATTTTTGTAATTTACAAAATTAACTATCTAACTTATGTATTAAGCCAATACCCGGCTGCTAAAAGTGCCCAAGTATGGTTATCGCACTGATGTTTGCCAACTGGTTCCACATGTGGTGCTACTCACATTTAAAAACCCGTTATAGCATGGTACTCAGCTACCTAAAAATATTTACTTAACATAACAACCTACTACAAAATAATTTTACTTTGACCACCAACTAGGTGAAAAAGAGTTCGAAATTTGTAACTAAATCGTTTCTTTTACCAACTTATATACCTCAACTATCTTTCCTTTAAAGTTTTCCAAACATGATCTTCTCTTTTCTTTTTTCCCTACTACACTTGATTCCTCCAAATCTTTTTTTCTCTTTTTTCTTGAATGGTTTTCTGTTAATTGGTTTTCTACTGGTTGAACCTCCGTTGGCCCGTTTTCTAACACTGAGTCTTCTGCTCGTAAGTTCTTTTCCGATTTCTTGGACGATTCTCTGGGTCTTTTTCCTCTTTTAATTGTCTTGTCTATATCGTTTCCTTTTTTCCATGCTGTGAATTTTTCACATTTTTCTCTCCAAATTATTCTATAAAAGCATTCTTGTATAATATAAAAAAGTGCTTCATAGCATTGTCGACTTGTGCTAGATTTCTTGTTCATTTCTTGAAGTTTCATGAAATTACTTTGACAGACCAAACCCTGCATAAGCATCTTCCTTTTTTCAAAGCATGCTTCTCGTGAGTTGCCAAATACTACGTTATTCAAATCTTTCAAGGTATACTCAAATCTTGTCTCTTCTTCGAGTGTGGCCCATGCCAATGCTAAAGCTTGCTTTTCTATTTCTAACCAAATATTCTCATAGGCTTTGCAGCTAAAAAGATAGTCCAAATCCTCTATTTTGTTCTCCTTACATAGGATACAAATGGCTGACAGATAAACATGTAAGCTATGCTGATGTAATTTATCTTGTGTTGGGAGTGCTCGGAAAAGGCCTTTAATTTGCTTGACAATCTTGTTACTAATTACTAGTGATCTACACCTCTGGCCTCTAAGCTCTGTTAATCTTTTCCAACATAAGGCCCATAATGGATTATTTTCACGTTCTGTCTTTCGGAGAGGCTCACAGCTTTTCGACAAATACCATTCACTCTCCACAAACCTTCTTTTAACTTTTAGTATAAAACTCCGTAAAGGGCATTCAATGTTCTTGTCTTGCCAAAATATTTTGAAGCTCTATCGAGAGCGAAGACTACTAGGCCATTTCTACATATCATCAAGATAAGCAACCTTTTTTGCTATACAATCTGCTATTTCATTCCACTTTATACCTGCATGTGCTTTAACCTTTATTAACTCAAAATCAAGTGATTTAAACTGAACTACTTCTATAATCTTGTCAAGTATTGCTCTATTTTTCCTTTTAAGCCCTTTATTAAAGTCCTTTTCATTTAGTACACCTCTTATTGCTATGATTGCGGCTGCACTATCGGTTTTAACTTGTACACTTGAGTTTGAAGTTGCTGTTAAAAGCGTACATAGTATCGCTAGAAGCTCTGGCCTTGTAAACGATGGCCAATTACCAATTCTGGCTCTGCTTTTAAATATCATATCTTTCTCGTCTTCTGAAACCTGGACCTAGCTTACCTCCATTCTATCTTCGTCAATCTTGTTAAACTTATTTGGGATCTATGAACCATCTGTATAGAAAATGGTTTCTTTTTTCTTATATTCTAGATTAACTCTTAGCCCATGTGACAATAAAGCTTTAATGTTTGTCGGTAGCTTCAAATTCTCTATATATTCTAAACTTTCATTTTTTACGATCTTCATACTTTCTAATGTCCATTCAGGTATACTTCTTTCTATAATAAGAGATCTATATATCTCTGTCGGAATTCTAAGGTGTAAACTCTCCTCGTCTTTCGATATATACTCTATTCTACCTAGTACTTGGTCTAAATTTATACTAAATCTACAAATATCCTTTACCTCTATGTTGTTAAAATTACAACCCCCACACTAAACTAATAGAACATCTTTTTTAGTTGGATCTCCTTCTAACTAATGTTTAGCTACAACCTCACTTGAACTTTTTACTTGAACCCGTCCGATTTCAAGCTAACCTGTTTCTTTCTTGTAAAATAAGATCCAATCTTTTTGTCCTTTATCCTGACTAATCTTTGGTAGACTCGGCACAATCGCCTCTTCATTTCTTGCTTGCAGACGAAACTGGGCTCTTACTTTATGTCTCTCTTCATTCTCGAGCACCAAACTCTCGACCGACTTGTACCAGAGTGAGTTGCGCCGCTACAACTACGATTTTTTAGTGCTTTTACTTGTTGCCATATCAACAAGTTTTCACTCTTTATATCTAATATCTGATTAATAAAGTAAATTTCCAAACTTGCTTGCTGTTTTCTACTCTTTTTCCTCTGCAAAGGACTTAGTATACTTGTGATTGTTGCTTCTGAACCACATATACTCCAGCCTTTTTCTTCTGTACCAAAGAATATATCTATTTTTTTGTACTGTTCTATCGTGTTGAGTGCAATGTTGCCTTTGCAGTTATGATTTGCCTCAAACAAAGGGTCTCTCCAGACATTATGTACTATGCCTTTTTCCAGAATTCCCTGTCTAATTCTCATTTTAGTAATGCTTTCTATTATACCAGTATTATTCAGTCTTTTAAAAAGAGCTGTCATCTGTTTTGCTAATACTGCGCTTGCAAGTAGTTTGGTTTCTAATGTACTCCATATACTAGGATACTGTTTGGTACCATCTGTGCTATTTCTAGCTTTTTCTTTATTAACCGCAGAAAAGGTTGGTAGATTGTGTTTAATTCGCTTTCTGTTAATGCCACCGTTTGTAGGATATACTCCAGCTTGGAAATTAGGACCTGGTTGTTTATATATACTAACTGGCTCGTCATAGATTTTTTCTTTTCTAATTTACAGATAAACAAGCCTACAATTTGCTTTATCTTCTTTTTTATTTCTGCAACCTCCTTTTTAGTATGAAGAAAGGTTCCAAGAAACCTTAGTTTGTACAGCTTCTTGCTTGCTTTAACTAGAGCATTCCCATATTCTACTTGTCTATTCACAAATAGAAGCTTTGAGTTTAATACTACTAACTTTGATTTGTTGCCATTAATTTCTATGCCGTTTAGCTAGAAAAACTGATCTGCTATTTGAATTGTTCGCTCTAGCTGATCCTTCGAACTTGCAATCCATGTGGTGTCATCAGCATATATGAGAACTGCTTGTCTAATGCTTTTTGGTTTTTCAATTTTTAACAGATCTTTCATCTGTACTTGTACTTTTATTCTATAACTCAAGCTTTCATTTTTCTGTATCTTATCTAACAGGGGATTATAAAAGATTCTCCAAAGAAGGGGTGAGATAGCTTCACCTTGATCGATACCTCTTTCTGCTCTGATTTCTTGTATTAAACTATATGTTGTTATAACCTTAAGCCTTCTATCTTTGAATAGGTTGTGAATTAGTCTGCAGCAAACATCTGGAATCTTGATCCTTTTTAGCGCTTTTTGCAACATGATAAGATTTACGAAGTCGAAAGCCTTCTTCATATTCTGAAACAAGACCCACAATTCTTGTTGGTTTTCTTTTGCCTCTTCGAGTAAGGCCTTAAGGATATGTACCGGCTCCTCTGTAGAATTTTCTAGTAACTCTGCAAAATTGAGGCCTTGGAGAATCTCCTTTTCTTTAATAATCTTGCTTAATCTTTCATTAAAATTTTTGTAACCCCTTTTCTGAAAACTTCTACTAAAGCAATTGATCTAACTTTATCCAAATTATACTCCCAGTCTTGCCCCTTTGGAATTGGATACACTTGAGTTGTTTTCTATTTACTTGGCACAGTACCAACTCATAGACATGCTTCTGCAAAGTTTTTAAAAACTTGCTGCGTTCTTGTATTTGCCTGCTTAAGAAGTGCATATGTGATTGTTGACATTCCTGGTGCTGAGTTTGCCTTACTTTTACTTAACATTAACTGCCATTCCTCTAGCGTAATTGGTTGCATTACTGGATCATACCATGCTTCAAGGATATGATCTTTTGGCTAGTATTCTTCAGACCATATATTCTCTATCTTAGCACTATTTTCTTTTCTATTTATAAACTGGTTTTAAATGCAACTGAACTTCTTTCAGGACTTCTGCCGGGCTAGTTAAAAGATTTGTTGACTCCTGGTTTTGTGTATATACTCTATCTAAAACTACTTTGCAGTAGGGTCGCTCTAACAGGCTAGCTAGCATTTTCTTTTGCTCCTTTACGATTTGCTTAGCTCTTTTTTGAATATATTGTTGTATTTCTTTTTTCTTAGCCTTTTCGCTATTTACTACTAGCTTACTCTCAATTACTTTTCACCAAGTTATTGCATCTTCTTGCTATTCTGACAATTTTTTTATATCGACTTCTTTAACACTACTATCTGCCCATCTATTAACTTGCCTAATTCTTTTTTTCCATTGATATAACATTTTATGAAGCTCTTCTTCATTTGCTGATCTTGTTTCTCTAACTATTTTATCTAGCGTAAAAGCTGCTTTAAAAAACCTATTTTTCTTCTTTGTAAAACTAGACTTTTTTCTGAAATCTATCACCTTATTTGGTAAATTTTTCTGGCCTGCTTTAAGAATTGCTTTTTCTATTAAATATCACATTTGGTTCAAGTTTGCCTCTAATTGATCTAGGAATTCTGGATCTGTAGCTAGAATGTTCTTCTTTAGTACAGACAGCGCTCTATTATTTAAACCTTTCTATAGACCTTCATAGTAATCGTCTCAGTTTTCTTTTATAGCCTTTCAAGTTTCTAAACTCTTTGTTTAGCACTGGATAACTCTTCTCTTATTTGACTATTTGATAAAACATTAGGACTCCATTCACATTTTACAAATGCGAGATCATGATCGCTTTCTGTTACCGTTGATATATTACAGATTTCTGCCTCTTGCAATATATCTATCATATTACTTAATGACCAAATTTGATCTATTCTTGTTGCAACTAAACTATTGCTCCAAGTAAACTTCTTTTTGTATAGGTTGAAAAATCTAAAAGTGTTTAAAAAACCCTTTTCTTTGAACCAAACGTGCATTGCTAGTTTTCTATTATTATTGATTTGTGATGATTTGTCTAATGTTGGGTCAACCACATAATTGAAATCTCCTAGTACTACTATTAGTGCATCGTCTTGTACTTTATCTATTCTACTGTAATTGTGCGTTTACAAGACCCAGGTCTGGTACATTCCACCAATTTTAAAACCTTTAATAGACCCGGGGGTCTGTTGTACAGACATTGGTCTGATAATCAGGTGAGGTTTTTATGCAGGTGAGGTTTTTATGCAGGTGGGGCTTTTATGCATGGGGTCTAGTAACACAATACAAATAAAAAAAAACATTGAAACAGTGAAATATGGTAGATGTTAAATAAACTTATCTATCAGATACAGTGGCAAATTATGAAGTAAAGTGAATAATCTCAGCGATGGTTTAGTAAATAAATACCAGTATATGTTATGCCAACCAAATATTTTTATATATGAAGATGTACTAAAAGTATAGAAACTTATACATATCAAATCATTTAAATAGACGCACAATGCAGTTACAATACTAATCAAAAAAGACAAATATCGCAGATTTTGGACTACAAAACAGATAAATGAGACATCTATGGTTTCAAATTCAATTTTTCATAGAATGCTGGCATACATTGAACCTAAAATGCTTTATTAACTCTAAATATAAGCGTAATAAGGAATCTGATGTCTACAACTTTGAAATAACCATCAAGCAGAAATCAGTCATTTCAATTCTTTGATCTAATTCATAATTTGTTTTATATCCTAAAGAAAAAAAGAAGAGCTATCGAAAGATATACTGTCTCAATATATTAAACTTCACAAGCGATGTTAGGACAATAGTCCTGATGTCTATTAACTATTATTATTTTATTATTAAATATGAAGAGAGCTAATACCAGAATAATAAAAATGCATTTCATGAAAAATGCGAAAGAATGATAGCAAAATTGGTGAATATTAGTTAACGATTTTATGAGGATCTATGAGGTACCAGTACTGCCATTTTATACATATGGGTAATTGATTTATTAATATAATTAACATGTGCAAACTTTATTTTCTACATATAATTTAAAAAGATTTTTGTATTTTTTTTAATCCTGTTACGTTTTGAATAAATCAAGTTTTTTTAGCGATAAGATAATGAAAATTTTATTTGCGTATAATTATATTATATAATATTTTTAATTTTTATATTTTTAGTAATAATATGAGACAAAATAAAACAAAAAAAAAGCAATCGAAAGTCACTAAAAAAAAAAAAAGAAGCTGGAATACACGTGAGAAATTAGCGATTGTTACATATCTTGAAAAAAATCTCATAGTTAGTAAACAAAGTGTCGCAACACAATTTAATATAACACCAAAACAATTACATGAGTGGATTAAGAAAAAAATTGAATTAAAAAATGTTTCACCTTATGTAAAACGGTTAAATATTGGTGCGCATTCTAAGTATCCGCTTTTAGAAGTTGATATTAAAAATTGAGTTAAATCTTTACGTTCACAACAAAAAATCGTGTCTAGACAAATGATTAGAACAAAAGCTAAACAACTTGCAAGTCAGCCACGTTTTGTTTCACTTTATCCAACAATCAACGAATGCAAATGAGGCGAAAAGTGGGTAGAGGGCTTTATGCGTCGTAATAAATTTAGCAATCGGCAGCGTACTACTATAGCACAAAAATTGCCAGAGGATTTAGAACCTCTAAGGGATAAATTTTTAAGTAGTGTACTATATCATCGTATGCTTTATAAATTATCTTCTTTCGCTTATTGGAAATATGGACGAGACTTTATTAGCATTTGATGTACCTAGCAATTATACTGTCGAAGAAACGGGTGCCCATACTGTTTCAATCTGTACAACTGAATATGAAAAGTCCAATTTCACAGTTGTTTTAGATTGTTTGGCTGATGGAACCAAATTGGTTCCTATGGTAATTTTTAAGTTAGTAAATATACCTCGACAAACATTTCCTCAAGGTATTGTTGTAAGAGCTAATCCAGAAGGCTACATGAATTCTAATTAGATGATTTTTTGGATAGAAAATATTTGGAACCGTCGTGCTCTTTTGTTAGTTAATCCTCGTTCTTTACTTGTTTTGGATTCATTTCGTGGTCATACAACAGATCTGGGTAAAACCAGATTTAAAGAAAAAAACACTAACATTGCAGTAATTCCAGGTGAACTAACTAAAAAATTGCAGCCATTAGATGTATATATCAACAAATCTTTTAAAGAAAAGGTAAGATAGTACTGTATTTGTATTAAATCAAAATTTTGATTTTTATTACACAATTATGCAATAATTACATTATAATTACACAATAATTATATAATAAAATCAAGTATCGCAAATATTATCTCGATTGGATGGGAGAAGAAGTTAAGAAATTAACACCTACTGGTCGTATTCAGCGTCCTGCCTATAATATAGTAGCTGAGTGGATAAAAAGAGTGTGAGATTAAGTTAATACCGCCCTTATTAAATAATCATTTAAGTGTTGTGGCATTTCTACTTCTCAAGACGGTTTTGAAGAAGATGTCATGTTCAATTACAAGTGGGTAAATGACCCAGAAGCTCGAAATAAAAGAAGTAATTTTGTGTATGCTAATGTGGATAATTTTGATGATAATGAAAGTATTGTTGATTTAACTCAAAACGATGATGCAAATATGAATAATGATGGTAAAAAATAATTAAGAAATACGGTTTGTTTATTGAAAATGAAATATATTAACCATTTTTATAAATTTTATAATTATGATTTATTAGACGGTGGTGACAATTTATATGAAGGCGAAGATAGCAGAAACAGGAACAGTTCAAATAAAGCTGAGAATGAAGATAATTGGAATAAAGATAAGAAAAATAGTTGGAATAATGATGTTGAAAATGGTTGGAATGAAAATGATGAGAATGAAGGTCGAAATGGAGATTGGAATGAAGATAGAAGTGAATATCCAAATGAAGATTGGAACGAAGGTTGAAATGAAAGTAACGTTAATAATTCAAGTCACTCTGATGAGCAATTTAATGTGAATGAAAAAGATATATATTTCGATAATGAAGTAGATACATATTATGATGATAAAGTAGCTGACTATAATAATTTGTGGGATTAAAAACTTTCAGAATCATAATACAGTAATACAAAATGAAAAATAATGCGTTGGATATAATCAGATCACTTGCAAATTTAAGACATAGGCAAATAATGTATAGAAACAATTTGTTATATGATGGGTTATGGAGAATCTTTAAATACCAAGTAATGACATGTATAAATTCACTTGCAAAATATAAATAAATAATTAGAATTGAACTGAATAATTTTAAAATCGATTATATAACAATTTCATATATTAACATTTTTCATCATTTCTACAATAACTTGTTTTTACAATTACTTTGCTTTATATGTTCATTCTGATAATTACTTCTCCAAAAATCACTTCTCTTATACTGGTAGAAAATTAAAAATTCGACATGTCAAATGGCACTATTCGAATGCCATTTAGTGTGCTATTCAACTTGAATGCCCGTGAAATCATGTAATAGAGTTAAATAGCATACTGAATGGTATATTGAATAGCATTTAAATAGTGCCATTCGACATGTCGAATGTTACAAACTTAAAAAGTTACTTGTATTCAATGACATTGAATCAAATAATGCACTGTCATCAAGATGTATAAAAAAACTTATATAATGTGCAGTATGAAAAATCTCTTGCATATTTAAACGTTTATATAAATGAATTTACATCAAAAAGACATGAATTATGAGCGAATATAAAGAATTTCTTTGCACCTTAGATTAGTTTACGCATAGAAAATTTAATGTAATTTTTTGTTTTATATCTATATTGCTATTTTAAAATATTAAATTTGATATAAATAAATGGACTTAATTAGACATAGCATGCTGTGATGTGCTTATACATTGCCTTTTAACAATTGACCAATTAAATTTGAAGATCAGGTATAACATGCAAATTAATTTTGTATAACAAAAATAAAGAAATTTTTAAAATTTTGAAATAGCTCAAAATGTCGTCTATGAAACTGCCTTTCAAGCTTTAACAAAAAAAATTTCTCACAAAATTTTGGTATATACTACACTCTACCCTAACCGCTAACCACTAACCCTAA